ACAAAACGTGATCCGTCTCTGAGCTAGCTAGCTAGCTCAGGCGAGTTCATTTGTTATATTTAGGTAATACCCTAGTAGAGTGGAGATTATCCGGCTGAACAAAACGTGATCCGTCTCTTAAATGTGTGTCAACCACAGACCTTATTTCGAGCTATTTTCCAAAATTCTATGGAGAAATTGCAGTGCGTGTTCTAGCTAGCTAGCTAGCAAGCTAGCTCAGGCGAGTTCATTTGTTATATTTAGGTAATACCCTATATTATTTAGTTACTATACCCCTCAGAAAGGTGCCAGAAGCAACATTGGCGCCGATTAGATTATTATTATTATTATTATTATTATTCGTGGCTAAGTTTATTTCCTATAACTATGTGTTACCCATGCTCTTACCTTGATTCTGAAGAACTGCGACTCTCTCATCCAGGTTTGGTCACGTAAAGTGCAAAGGTATGCCGAATTCTGACCAAGCGTCGCCACAGCAACACACAGTACAAAAACAACACGTACCTCAACAGTCATCAGGAGAAAAAACAGTACAACACACAGTACAAAAACAACACGTACCTCAACAGTCATCAGGAGAAAAAACAGTACAACACACAGTACAAAAACAATATGTACCTCAACAGTCATCAGGAGAAAAAACAGTACAACACACAGTACAAAAACAATACGTACCCCACATACAGAAACAGTCATCAGGAGAAAAAACAACAGTCAGAGGATCCAGATTTTCTATTGAAAGCACACTGTATCCACACCATCATTAAAACTATCCATCATCTGAAAAACGTGTCGGCGGAAGATCCTCCACCAAACCAGTGGTTGCGTTAGACATTTTCGTGGTCCGTCATTTTGACGGACAGGATCATAACATTTCCGTCATAATCCATTATTACCCGTCATTTTATTTTTCATGTTTTAATGATGAGACATATTTAATATTTATGTTTGGGTACTAAGCAGCAAATGTTCATTCATTCCTTTTTTCATACAGAACTTTTAAGGGCATGGAGGAATAAAAAGATGAACAGAGACACCGACCGTGCGGTCACTTTTCATGTCAAAACGAATATGAATGATTTATTTTTCCTTGCCACTTGCTTGCCCCTCTGCTGCTGGCTGAACGTTGTCAGTTTTAGTCTTACTGGCTTGTCCTTCATCCTCCACTGCATCAATCCCTCTTTTTTCACCTCGTTTATCCACACCATCACGATTACTGGGCTTATTAAAAAAGCTTCGGACACTCAGCTGCCGTGACATTTTGCGATTGCTAAAGCCGGTTAAACAACGAGGTAATCAACGAGGTCAAATACAAGACTAGACAATAGCTACTTAATATGCACACACTCGCCACCAACTGGACAGGGGTGTGAATTACTAAATAATAGTTACAGTAGAGTACAGTAGATCGCCCTCAGTCGACCTGGCCACTAAGGATGTAATATAATGTGGGCCGCTGGTGGACATTTTGGCGCTGTTCCGAGTTGTGTTCTAATCTGTCAAAATGACGGACTGCTTTCAGAGTTTTCCGTCAGTCTTGGAAAAATTACGTCATAGACGGAAAATATTCGGTTAACGCGACCTCTGCACCAAACATAGCCAAAATGACTGAACACCTGGCCACGGTGATCAAGCCGGCTTCTCCTCACCCCGACACACAGGCCCTGATTGAAGGCAATGCAAAAAATTGGTGTTTTACAACCATGTTGATCCTACGTGATCACTACACAGATGAGATGGAAACTCAGATAATCAAATTAAATACATTGTCTACTTACCACTGGCAGAATCCACTGGATGTGGCTTCATCCTGGGCCAAGAGAAACCTGGGACGCCGCTTACAGGAGGAAACACTGGTGCAGACTGCGGCTCTGTTGACGGCTCAGATTGTTGACCGAACAGTAGCCGCACCTGCATAGCCCAAACAGAGGGTAAGGCCCACGGCTGTGGTTCCTTCTGCAAACACAAGTGTGGCACAAGTGCATGCTCCACCTGCACACATTGGGTCCCCCTCACAGACCCCGGCACCCCACACCTCATCCACACATACTGTGAACCCTAAAAAAAGAAAAGCACCTTTAGTGGAGGTTGTAACAAAGTGCCTCATTCCCCCCAGCATTGTACTCACCACACCTGCTCCTAAAACACAGAGGATTAGACAGCTTCCTCGATTGACACCGAGGGGCAGGCGGGTACTCGGTTTGACTTCTCAGCCTCCTGCTCACTCTCCTCCTCCTTCTCTCAACCCATGTGTGTCGACTGAAGAGGATTCTATTCTCGTTCTGTCGCCGGAGGAATTGGAGGACGCTCTGGGACCAGCAACGCTCCCTCCACGACCTAGTTGTCCCGTCCTTTCTCGGTCCCCAGTTGCGACACGCAGCTTCGACGCGGCAATCCAGAGTCAACTGCAAATGAACACAGTGCTGCAGTCACGACCCACACCACCTGAGCCAATGATACCAACACGCAGACCTAATAAACACCTCAACACAGTCAAAAAACTACAGGACTGGAGTTTGAGTGTCGGCAAAAAATGGCTAATAATGGGGGACTCCAATTTAGCGCGACTCCCACCATTCACCATAGATAATCTACAAATTGACAGTTACCCGGGGGCTACGTTCAGACATGCCGAGGCCATCATCAAAAAGGCCACTTCTTCCACTGTGGTGGAAAAAGTGATCTTGTCATTTGGACTAAACAACAGATCAAATCAAGTTAAGAAGACCACCTTGAAACAGCTGCAGGCAGCAGTCCGAGCTGCTAAGTTGAGGTTCCCACAGGCAGCAATCTGGATACCTATAATCAATTACTCATACCTTCTGCCACATCATGAACAAAAACATATGCTCGATTTAAATGACTACATCACACAAAATCTTAAGCACATACCACAGCTGCCAAGCGGGTCATTTGGGACCGAAAAGGATCATGTCCATTGGACGAAATCCACCGCAAGACTCATGCTGCAACACTGGTGTGAGCAGGTAAACTAAATGTCCCCTCAAATCTGCCTTTACAGGAGGGGAATAAAAATGTTTTAATATTAGCCAAACACGTCACATTGACTCCCCCGCAGATCTCGCTCTTAAACAGGGGTCTAAATTTCATCCCTACAAAAGGCAGTAACACAAATCTTATCGAGCAAGGCAGATGGGATTTACAACAGTACCACAGGAAATTGAAATTAGCAACATATTTTCAACACAAAGAAGATTCTGTCCCACCTCCATTTACTCCCAAATCGGACTGGGTTCCCGCCGCGGGCACACTTCCGGCGGAACTCACTACTCTCATTGCAGCTGATATCAACCACTTTGATAGCAGCTTCCAGATGCTCCGTGTCCAACCGAACCTCTGTCCAGAGGAGGTTGCAGCATTGCAGGAGCTCAGCAACAATAAACAGATCATTATTAAGCCAGCCGATAAAGGTAGTGTAGTGGTTGTTATGGAC